AGGGATAATTTGAGCTCTTCTTTTCCAATTATTACTCCTTTAATTTCCTTCTCTTGTCTTATTGCTCTTGCAAGAGTTTCAAGTACTATGTTAAAGAGAAGTGGAGACAGTGTGCAGCCTTGTCTGTTCCTGATTTCAATGGGAATGCTTCCAGCTTTTGTCCATTTAGAATGATGTTGGCTGTGGGTTTGTTATATATGGCTTTAATTATGTTGAGGTATGTTCCCTCCAGTCCAATTCTCTCTAGGACTTTAAACATAAAAGCATGTTGAATTTTGTCAAAAGCCTTCTCTGCATCTATTGAGATGACCATGTGGTTCTTGTCGTTGAGCCCATTTATGTGATTTATGATGTTTATTGATTTACATATATTGAACCATCCCTGCATCTCTGGAATAAAGCCAACTTGATCATGGTGGATGATCCTTTTGATGTGTGTCTGTATGCGGTTTGCAAGTATTTTATTGAGAATTTTTGCACCTATGTTCATTAAGGATATGGGTCTATAGTTTTCTTTTTTGGTTGTGTCTTTACCAGGCTTTGGTATGAGAGTGATGCTGGCTTCATAGAAGGAATTTGGAAGTTTTCCCTCCATTTCTATTTTTTTGAATAAATTAAGTAGTATTGGATGCAGATCTTCTTTAAATGTCTGATAGAATTCTGCTGTAAATCCATCTGGTCCTGAGCTTTTTTTAGTCGGGAGGTTTTATATTACTGTTTCAATTTCTTTTTGTGATATGGGTCTGTTTAAGCTGTTAATCTCTTCTTGGTTTAGTTTTGGTGGTTCCCATGCCTTTACATATGCATCCATTTCTTTTAGGTTTTCAAATTTAGTAGCATATAGGTTTTTAAAGTATTCCCTTATAATGTTCTGTAACTTTCTGGTGTCTGTTGTGATGTTTCCCCTTTCATCTCTGATTTTGTTGATTTGGAGTTGCTCTTTCTTTCTTTTAAATAATTTGTTCTGTACTTCTTTGGAAAACAACATTTTTAAACTTGTTTGCCTTCCTAATGTTAATCAATCTTTTCGTATGATTGTGGACACTGAGTGGGAAGAGAATATTTCAGGATAGGGTGTGTGTGTGTGTGTGTGTGTGTGTGTGTGTGTGTATGCATGTGTGGTGTGGGTGCACTTGTACATGTATGCATGAGTGAAAACAATTTCAGGAAAATTACTTATTTTGAGAAAGTAAGTCTTTATCGCCTATCTCAGCTCCTCCCTCCTCTGATCTGAAAGGTACCCTTGGCAGGATAAACTTTTCTCTAGACAGTGAATTGTCTTTCAAAGACAGTATCTTGATACTCCAGGCTCTGGTTTGTACAGAGACCTCAGAGCTTCTAGAGAAAACCAGGACAGGGTAAAGATCTCTAGTCTAATATGTATTTTTAGAAGGGGTTCTATTCAGTTTCAACTGGGGAGAAAAAAATGATGTGCTGCTAAGGCTATGTTAGGAAATTACTGTGCTGCATAGTCAACATCTAAAGTAGGTTTGAGCCATTCTATTGGAATGCTGTGAATATAAGCTACTTTGTTTAGGTTTCTTGCTGCTTGCTTTTACTAACTGGGGCTTTGGCAAGTCACTCTCAAACTCTAGGAATATATGACAAGTTAGCCCCATTAGTCCCATGTTATATGGTTAACTCATCTCTACAACTGGTTCACACCTCCCTGTATCCACATCCTCTAATCTCACATTGACTTTGGGCTTCATCATATGATTTACTTTGCTAGTAAAACTGAACAAGCAGAGACCTGAAATTTTGATCTTGCCCCCTTGCAACATATGGAACCCTAAACTATTTCGTGAAGAACCATGTGCCAATCTGCTGGGTGGTGAAATGTGTGTCTTAGTCATACTCAGTGCCCTGGCTGATGGCCACTCAGTTCCTAGAAGCAGAGCAGTTTAGCTTACCATGGCCCAGAGTGAATCCTGTGAAAACTAGAAGCAGCACTGGTCAACAGTGTGCAACCCAAATTAGCAACTCATAAAATCATGGCCTAAGTAAACGGGTACTATGTTTAGCCACTGAGTTTTGGGGTGACTCGTCATAGGTGAAAACCAACTGATAGAGTCTACCATAAGGTAATTATTAAAGCATAATCTACTGTAACCATGTGTAACCTTGACAAGGCCTTAAAGGAAAGATGCTTCTAGGTCTCAGAACCAAGGAAAGTTACTTATTGCCTCAGGAAACAGATTGATTTTATCTTCCACATTTTGTGATTCTGTTTGATATAACCCTGAGAAGATCACAGTCAAATCAAAAGTAACCCTCTTCTTATCTCCCCTAAAAGCCCATAAGGCTCCAAGGTATTTTGGCCTTTAACTAGGCCTGCAACTCCTTCCCACTCCCTTTGCTCTATTTCCATTTTTATTTGACTTGCTACATGCATTTCTATGAGCTAGCTCAAATCTTTACACAATAAACTGGAATAGCCAAGTTAACCCAAGGACCACACCACAGTTCTTAAGAACTGTAAAAAAGACAAAGGGATATTGAATTATAATCTCCAACAAAAACTCCCACTGTTTTCCAACTCAAAAGTATCAACTTTTTTTTCTTCTTTTTGAGACAGGGTCTCCTTGTAGCCCCAGCAGACCTGGAACTCACCATGTAGACCAGGCTGGCCTCAATCTCACAGAGATCCGCCTGCCACTGCTGGGATTAAAGGCATGAGCCACCACTTACATCCTTGGGTCTTAAAATGGTTTTATCTAGAAGCCCAATGAATCTAAAATGGCTCCCATCTTAAGCACTCAGAACCACTTCATTTTCTAGGGAGGCAGCAGAATGCACCTTAGCAGTATGGCATCTTGAGTTGGACTTGACTAGTTTTGACTTCTGCCTTCACTACTTAGCTAAGAGACCTTGAATGTGTCAATCACTATGAAGACTTCATATTTCAGGTTTTCTATCTGTGACACAGGGATGATCTTGAAAGGGGTATTATGAGTGTTAAGTAACATGTACAAATTGCTAGTCTTATTGCTGTCAGTTATCACTACTGTCACAACTCCTTTTCCCCCATTCTCTTCTTCCACAGCCTCTTCAGATATTCATCAGCTTCATGAAGGGAACAAAATGATATGAGATACAATCTAATGGCCAGCATTAAAAAAGACACTATGCAGCTACCCTAGCTCATTATGAAATGCTTAAATGTGTAAATGGCTTAGATGTGTAAATACACTCCTTTCAGCCAATACCTCTGTTGTTACCCTGGAAGAGTAGAAATACCTTTGCCTCGTTGCTTCTTTTCTTTTTGTTCACTTAATTTATCCAGAGGTAGGTTTGTCATCTCAACTCCATACACAGTTCTTGCAAGCACAGCTGTCAAGGAGTCCATGATGTTGGCCCACTCAATGATGAGTTCCTCCCATTCCGTGAGAGATGACACCACCCCAAGAAAGTCATCCCAGAGTTCACGAGAAATGTACACATAGAGATTTGCTCGGATCCAAGCCACAATGAGAGTCTGAAACCAACCAAATGTATAAGTTTAAACAAAAGTATTTTGAATTATAAATGTAAATATATATTTTTACTTAATAAAACATACTTCTCAATGTTCTTATTTTTTCCCAACTATAACCAGGATTCTGAATTATTGAAAGATTAGTTATCATTATGAAAAAGTTACTGTGCTTAATATCATAGAGCATGTGGCTAAACCTGGTTATAATTAGCGAGAAGACAAAACTCTCTGTCAGCAACTACTGAGCTTCCTGAAGCAGCTCTTTCCCTCTGTCAACACAGAAGCTACATCAAACATCTCCCTCTACCCCTGAACTTCCAACCTATCAACTCCTCCCTGACTTTGAGCAGTTAGGCTCACTGCAGACTTCAAAGGTAAGATAACCCATTAAAATGACTCCTGTCAACCTCTGTCCACAAGAGCTACACTGTACCAGCATTTACTCAGCTCTACCTCTTTTGCGCTGTCTTCCAACAGGCATTCCTACACTTGCTTCTACTGCTGTGCTGGACTCCTTTCTCATAATCTCTGTATTTCTGTTCATCCTATCTATTAGCTACACGCTCCAAGTCTTCCTTATCATGGAAGCTAAAACATTCTCCATGAAGCAAATTTCCCTTTTCCCTCCTCTGTCAAAGCCAAACTTTCCCATTTCCTCATCTCCCAGCTAACTGACTCTGGCTTTTTCCCTCTCACAGCTCTCCACCTTCTGCCTGGGTTCTGGTCTCCATTTCTATGACTCCACTACACTCTAAATGCTATGTACTCTTTGTCTCCATGTCCCGCCTAGAAATTTTTGCTGGTTTCCTGACTATCCACCTGCTTTCTAGAGAATTCAACTTGTAGCACATCATCACAAAAAAAAAGTCAGTATCTTCCACTGAAACTCTCTCAGCTCTTTGGCCTGCTTTCCCTACTCCTGGCCTTTGTACCCTCTGCCTGGCCCTCAGTCTTACTTCTTTAACTCTCACTTATTCTTTAACTCACAATGTGGACACCACTTCTTCTAAGGGCTGGGAAGATGGCTCAGCAGATATAAAAGCACTTATAGCACAAGGGTGGGGACTGGAATTCAGATCCCCAGCACCCATGTAAATGCTGAGTGGGCATGGAGGCCCACCTGTAATCCTAGCATGTAGGAGGCATAGACAGGGGGATCCCTGGAGCAAGCTGGGTAGCTAGTCAAAGTGGTAAGATCTAGGTTTCAAGTAAGAGACCATACCTCAATATGTAAGGTAGTAAAAGACTTAGGAAGACATCTGACATCAGCCTTGGGCCTCTACACACATCTGCACACACAAGAGCCAATACACATTCAAACACATGTACATTAACAATGTGCACACACACACACATACATACAGAGTGTTCTTGACAACTTACATATTTTTAAAGGCAAAAATATTTAACACATTTGAAAACTTTGAGAAATAAAATGTATAATAGGAAGGCCTGTTCTGACCACTTGAAAAATCGTATTTAAAGTGATTCTTTTACAATACACTTGCTCTTTGTGTTTCAGTTCATGTTCACTAAACTTTTTAAAAGAGTAAAAATGTCAAAATAGAACTAAAATAGTTAATTATACTAAAACAAAATTTTAAACATTTGTATTTAAATTCCAGTTTATGAATAATTTTTTAAAATTAAGAATGCAAAAATAATAATTATAATTTATTACAATTGATATTTGGCCAAGCATTTTAATTAATACTAACATGCCAGTTTCTGTCTATCCATTTTTAAACTCATGTCGTCAAACGTTTAAGGCCATTACCACAAAGTGCATACTACAATAAAATAATCTTGATCTAATAATAAATATTAATTTAATAATAGCAATTGATCTAATGTTAGATCAATATACATAATCGTATGGAGTAAGAACAAAGAGCAGAGATTGGTGACATCACTAGGAATTACTTCAAATTCAGCTGCAGTACTGGCTATAGGAATAAAACCAGATAAATGTCTTGGTGTAGTAGGATGCTGACTGGGAACCACTTTACTAGCTAATTTTAAGACAGGAAACAAGCTGACTTCTTTCAGCTTAGAAAATTTATCACAGCCAACATCACAAATATGTATATGAACTTGCTGAATCAACAAAATAATTCACAACAGCATTTGGACATGGTGCAAAGTCCTCAAAGATAGTTTGGAGAGGGATGGGGGTGGAGCCTTTGGATATGAAAGCTAGGAAGTCTTTTAATCAATTACACTTTTCCAAAAGGAAGAGGAAAGGTGAAAGTCCTGGCTCTAGGTTGTGTCACAAACTTGGGACAAATCAGTTGGCCTTTCTAGAGTCACACTTCTCGTTAAAAATAAAAGAGCTGGATTAAGGATACCTCAAGGGTCCCTTGGCACTGACAATGTTCTAGCAGATGCAGCTTAGCACATGAGCTATATGAAAACACCTTGCCTCAGTAACTCCTCTTACATTTAATTGCTCACCAACTAGTTCCTCTCTCCTTCTACTCCCTATGTCAGGCACTGGATCCAATAAATAGCAGGAGCAAGGCTTCCTGATCCACCCTAAGAGCTTCAAGCATATGGTCTAATTCAACACTGACAACAGGTTACAACACCACATATGGTAAACAACATTTTAGGAAAATATTTAAAACTGTGCTAAATTCAAAATCATTTGAAGAAAGTTTGTTAACGAAGATTCTCTATATAGAGAGAAAAATAAACACCAGAGGAAAAGTTAGAAAAAACTAAAAGAATAATGGCAACTTATAATTTTCTATTCCCTTTAGTAGTCTCCTTTACAAATGTTAAAATAAAAACAAAAAAACAACCCTCAAGTATTTGGTCATTTTTGAGACCATATGACAAAAGAACTAGCACATCTTCACCGTGGTGTGGTACTAATACTACAGTGTGCTGGTCTGTCCAAACCACTTTCATTTTCCTCCTCAGACCTCACACAAGGGTATGGGAAGTCAACATGATCACAATTCCCAAATGAATCCTCTCTGCTTCCCATGAGAACCCCGTGAGGTGAGCAAGTGTCCCTCCTGCTTAAACAGATCAGGGAGAGATACAGAAGGGTGAAGTGATGCTCAAGGCCACATAGCCAGGACTGCCAAAGCCTCATTCACAACCAGGATCTGTCAAACTCCCAAAAGCTCATCCTTCCTCTACACTTACGGCTAATTCTAAATTTAATTTATCTTTTTTGATGTACTGATTTCCAGTTAACTGCATCAAAATCATAAACAATCACAGGTGAAAAATTATTTCAAGGAAGATATGATAGGAATTCCATGTTAAAGAGAGCTCCCTCCTGCCAAAAAAATTCCAACCCAAACAAACAAAAAATATAACAGAGCAAATTTATCATAATTCTGCAACCAATGCTTCTCAAATTCCAGCACATATAAATAGATATAAGGCTAGACAACTGATAGAGATCAGGCTTGACACTGACTTCAGTTCCTGCCCACTTGACAGCCCAGCTCCAAGACTGGGAGCTCAGGAGATGCAAAGAGAGCACTGTGCAGGCTGTCTGTCTGTCTAGGCAGATAGCAAAACAGTAGCAACAGGAAAGGCAGGTTAGACTCTTGGGGAAAACAAAAGTAGGCTGGATATGGTGACACAGGCCTATAATCCTAGCACTCAGAAAGCTAAAGCAGGAGAAGCAAGAGTTTGGGCCAATCTGGGCTCATATTGAGACTTGGTCTCAAAAGCAAAAACAAAAAAGAATATGTAGGCCTCCTCTATATACCCATACCAAGACAGTCAAAAGGAAAGGGACAGCATCCATGAGGCAAGTGAGTACATGCCAGTTCCTTCTGTAGTCTCTCATATATTCATCAAGCAACATCATTCAATCACATGAAATGGTTTTAACAATGAGAATAGCTTTAAAGAAATAATTTCCCTTGTCACCTTCACCTGCATGTCCCACATGTATTCTATATATGCTCTTAACAGGCATCTTCCAGCTGGGCATGGTGGCACTCACCTTTAATCTGAGCACTTGGGAGGCAGAGGCAGGCAGATCTCTGTGTTTGAGACCAGCCTGGTCTACATAGCGAGTTCCAGGTCAGCTGGGTCTACAGGGAGACCCTGTCACAAAAAGACCAAAAACAAACAAACAAAAAAATGCATCTTCCAAAACTATCTTCAGGTAAACTGGGGAAGAAGTCAGTGTTTCTGCCTTCAACCACCACTTCAGCTAACTGTACTTTCAAGGCCAGACCTACCCATTGTACTAATGCCTTTATGTAGAATACTGCATACTTCCAGTCTTTACACACTGTTCTCTTTCAGAAGTGTTCGTCAATTCTATGAACGCCATAGACATTAGTAGCGTTGCCAATAGGTTGCTGCCCTCAGGGCCCTGTGCTGTTGCTACTTCCCTAGGCAGACCATCAGCTGCCAGCCTATTCATGCTCTGGACTCTGTTCACATGTGAGGTGTGGGAGGAACTGGTGCCTCTTCAGCCCTCAACTCACACTGAGGTGATCCAACCATAGCCATAGACAGGACTTCACTCCTGAGGCTCCCTTTCCTGTCCACTAGTCCATCTTGTCCTCCTTCAGTGGAACATGGCACTGATAAGCAAACACTGAAGTAGCTCCTTCCCTACCCCTCATTCTCTACACATGCTGCTCATTCTAACTGGCCCCTCTTTCTTCTTCCCTTCTACATCAAGACCTCTTAGAAGACTTTTCCATGCTTGCTACCTGCACTGCCCGGTTAATCCACTCCAAGTAGACCTCAATTTCTTAGGACATTCTCAACCACCTACATCTTACCAGAACCAAAGGTCACCTGACCCCTGCTTACCTTCCCTGGGCATCTAGAACACAGTCTACTCCAGCTTTCCCTCAGCTCAAATGGGCCTCCTTCCTCAGCATCTCTGGGTGCCCCCTCTCCCTTTTTGTGTTGAAACAAGGTAACACTATGTAGCTCTGGCTGGCCTGGAACTTGCTATGTAGACCAGGATAACCTTAAGCTCATTGATCTGCCAGCCTCTGCCTCCCAAGCACTGGGATTAAAGATGTGCTCTACCATACCTGGCCTTGGCTTCTTCTCTTCTACCAACCATGGAGAGGTCCTCATCTCTCTATGACACATGCTGTCTCCCAGTCATTCCATCCTCTCTAACACTTTATATTCAGCTCAACACAATGATGGTCTCAAGTATTCATCCTATTCCCAGATTCCTATTCATCCTGTAACTCTCAAATCTACCTGGTTCTCTCCCTTCTAAGATGCTCAGCTCTTGTGATCTTCTTAATGCCTACCATCCTCAAATCAGGAGGAAGATGACAGAGAGTTAGGAAAACCTAAAAGCTTTTTACTAATTGTAAAAAATAGGTTACAACTTTGAGGATAAAGCTAAGAAGGAAACATTTCTAAATATGGAAAGTTAATTTCATATAACTATTAAAATTCTTAGTAATTAAAACTAATTTTTTGTGAAATCCTATTCTATTTTACATTTGTAGTTTTTTAATAAAAAAGACTTACCCTAAATAGTAACCCTGCCAAGCTCTGGGCAAACAAATCCTTTATGTGTTTATCCTTTGGCTTCTGCATTACAGCTTCTGTTATCCTGAGTAGTATTTGCAACATCTGCTCCCTGGGCCACCCAAAATAAAAGCTCATATTAATAATTGCATCTCCAAAGCATCTGTAAGTATAAGAAATTCTCTGAAGAATTCAGCAACACTGATAATCATGTATTACACAGAAGTATTAAAAGTCTAAGTGCCAATTAAAGAATAAATACCATATTTTATCAAAATAATCTACTTTATATTACAACAGCTCTACAAATATGCTTCCCACACCCACGTCAATTGGCAGGATAAAGCAGACATCTTCTTAGCCTTGCCTTTCCCCTTGCAGGAAGGAAGACAAGACGGTCTTCTCTAGTTGAACCAGTGCCTCAAGGCACTGAGGGAATAGCTGTGTCAGTTTGAACTTACACAGTACTCTGTAATTTCCCATCATTGTTTTATTTAACCTGGAGAGTCTCCCCATCTATCTTTGTGGTAGAAAACAAAACTAGTTTTCCGGTCTTTAAGAACACCTGCAGTCGACACCACTGCATGACTGCAGTTCCCGGTCATCTCGAGGGCACGAAAGGGATTGGAAAGGCCAGGACTGGACAGTTACAGGCAGTGTGCTTGTGCCTGGAAGATCCTGCCTGTAGTTCAGTGCACACCTGAGACTGCATCACCACAGCTCACTCATTGTGCTGCTGTTTTCAGAGGCTTGGGAAGAGGGTTTTACATAAAAGGTCTTAAAGGCTCAACACAGCCCTGCTAATTATAACAACAGATGTTTAGAACAGCCGAAGAGCATATTTTCTTCCTCTTACATAGCCAAGTTGTGTTTTTCACAGTCATGGATTCTGTGAAACAGAGAACATATTACCTTTTATATACAAGGGAGGTACATTCATTCTCTGAGGAGAATCACTCTGGTTCCTGTGAGGTTTTGGACCCTAATCATTTATCCACCTTTATTATTTTCTTCTTGCTCCTCCTACTCTTTAGTGGAAAAAGAAAAAAGAAAAAACTAGGACTAGGACAAAGTAATCTAGCACGGGTCAGAAACAAGGTCCTCTAAAACACTCCATTATTTTTACTTTATGTAGATGAGTGTACTGCCTGCATGGATGTAAGTGTACCCATGATGTGCAATCCCCGCAGAGGACAGAGGAAGGCATCAGATCCCCTGGAACTGGAGCTATAGATAGCTTTAAGCCACCATGTGGGTGCTGGGAACTGAATCTGGGTCTTCTGAAAGAGCAGCCAGTGCTGTTAATCACTGAGCTATCTTTCCAGGCCCAGAAATAGGAGTCTCTAAATTATAGTATCTTTATACTTTTCTCCTGTGTCTGCACAGCAAATAGCATTTGTTCCTAACAATTCATGATGCTGAATCTCAGTAACCTTCTAACAGTCCAATGACTTCTGAGGATTTGTTGCCCTCTTGGTAGCTGGCCATGTTGGATTTTAGGCCCAGTGTTATTTGTTGGCATCCATCCATTCTCCCAGCACTCTACTCCATCTGTTTGCTTATTTTGCACTGCCTGTGGATTCTGGAAGTATGGAAGGGGAAGACTAATGCATCACCCAGGATCTGGGTATGTGTGCACAGTGCAGGACAGCAACTCTAAGGAGAAGAACTAGGAGAAGAAATGGCAGAACTGGAGGTAGCCGGCCACTCACAGCCAAGATACCCAGCCTCTGCCACACAGTGGGAGGCAACATTTGGTATAGCCACTATACCACATACTACATTGATGCTTAGGACAATGAGAAATAACTCCTTTCACAGGAGTAGCTGCATATCTATGCTTAGAATGAGAACAAGAGACGCCCTGGGCTTCCAATGTAACTTCGGTAAAGGGGACTGCTATTTCAAAGTCCAAAGCTGAGGTAAGTGATAAATGATAGAGACACCTCGAATTCCATTTCCTAACCTATGAAAACTTGGAAAGCCATGGGATTCCTAGGCCATCTTCAAGAACAGAATTCGGGTGGGAAACCTGTCCATAATTCTGTAACATAAGACACACAAAGGGTAAGCTTCCTGTTTGAACCACAGTTTGTCCTTTCAACTTCATGAAACACAGGCTGAAACTATTACTCCACAAAGAAGAACTGCTAGAAGAGGATAGTGCACTGTTGGAGCCCATGAAGCTAGGTGTATGTGCTGTCCTGGATCTGACCGGGGAGTGGGGGGTTTTCCTGCATTTTCCATTTTTGCTTTACCTTCGCCTCACACAGGGGGCATTTTCACTCATTCACTCCTCAGTAACTCAATATTTCAGGACCATTTCCTAGTCTTTCCCCGGATCTAGCCTTGGTTTAAGCTACTATCCATGACAGCTACAGACTATTTTCCCTCTGGAAACATAACTGAACTATGTCACATTCTTGCACACAAAGCCATGTCCTGCAAAATTCTGTGTAGTCTGACTGATCTGCTTCTTGCCCCCAACCCCACCCCACTCCCTCCGACCACTTCTTTGACCATACCACCTTTTACCTTTTCAGCATCAGGTCTTTTATAGCTGCTCTTCCTTTTCCTGGGAACACATTTCTCCCAAGCCTCCTCATGGTACCTCCCTTCCCTGCTCAGGGCTCTACTCAGGAAGGTCATTTCTGACCTCCATGCTCGGCAATGTCCACCAACTCACTCAGACCCCTTCCCTTGTTCCTATGTTCTCAGTACTTCATGACAGCTCAACCATGAATGTCTGTGAGGATTATCCCATGAGGGCAGGATCCTTGCCTATCTAGTGCACCACTGTGTGCTCACAGTAGATGCTCAGGAGATAATCACTAGGTAGAAAGAAAGGAGGCAGTGAGGGAAGGAAAGAAGAAGAAAGAAGGGAGAGGGGAGAAGGGGGAGGCTGGGAAGGAAAGCTGGGACCATCTGCAACTTTAACCAACCAGAAAGGGTCTGAGAAGCAGATCATGTTACTTTCTATGCTCTGCTTTTTCAGTGACTACTTTCATCTGTTTCTATAACTTGTCTTCTTATACTTTTATCTGGAAATCTCTGAATTATTAAAGGGAAAAAAAAACCCCACAATTTCTAAATTTTACTTTCTAGAATTTCACCAGAATAAAATGATTATCAAAAATATAATACTATATAATGTATTCAGAATTCATAACCTTCAAAGCAAAAAACAAAAAATACTATTCATGCAACTTCGATCTCAAGGAGCATCCCTTTGCCTAATACTTACAGTTTCTGTGTTTGTAAACCTGTTGCAAGACAAGAGTTCTCCAGGCCCACTCTTCCCTCTCCTTGGGGGCCTGTGGCCCTTGCCAGCTCAGCCCAGTTTTGTTTCTAGGATTCTCAGCTACTGTGGACAGACACCTTGTAAAACACTAATAGGGTAGGCTCAGAACACCTAGAAGACAGGTATGGTCCTGGGAAACTCTCCAGTGTAGAAGGGTGCCACCAGCACAGGACCTCAGTAGCCTCAAGAACCTGGCAGCTTCAGCAGAAGAGCACTTGGAGGGATCTAACAGGCAAGGTCGGAGACAGTGACAAGGATGTCTGGTGAGGTGCATGCACCCAGAGCAAAAATGAGAGGCATTTCTAAGACAGGGAAAGACTGCCTCTTCTGTACACAAAGACAATGGGAATATGGCCCAGGGGTTGCTGGCCATTATTGAGAACTGAAATGTCACACTGAAAATGCCTCATAAGAGGGCGATGTGAAGACATTCACTCAGGGAGCTGGGCATAGAAGCATTTAACACATTTTACCTTTGAGATTACAGTTAACAGAAAAAAAAAAAAAGAACAGAAGGAAAAAAACTTTGTAGTGTTAGTGAGAACATATTTTTTAACTGTACTAAAGTTAGTAGTCACTTTGATAATTTATTATTAAAAATAATTATTTTTCCAAAGTGAATTTAAAACATCAAATTGATGGAACAACTCATCTTATAGAATTGCAGGGCAATTAACAAACTTGGGCTTATGATGAATAATATGATAAAACACCACCCTGCTTTTTTTTACAAAACTGATGACAGTTTAAAATGGAAAAATCTACTGAATAACACTAACTCCTAGTTCAAGAGCATTTTTCAAAAACAATAATGAAAACATGTGAACTATTGAAGTACTGAGTACATACCTTTGTCACAAACAGTTCACAGAAACTGTCATAAAAAGCTGATGGTCATCTTACTGCCAAATTTGTACAGACATTAAATAAACATTAAATATCTTAATACTTTAATTATGTTGAAAAGCAAAGATATCGGCATTGTAATATTAAATTGATATAGTATTAACTTACCATGTCCTTTTATTCATTGTAAGCTCCATTATCATACGTCTAAAAATAATCAAAACAGCTTTACAAGCATCAACTTGTTCTCGAAGGAGCGTGGGAATTTCAACACATGGTTCCAGCAAAAAAACATTTGCAGCATTTGTGAGAAAGACCTTGAAGTCAATAATTTCACATTAGAAGTCAATAACTTCATATTAGAAGTCAATAATTTCACCATATACATTTGTCTACAGAAATATTACTTTTCTTCTAACAATGAATCCCTTTGGGTTATTTCCACAGATTCCATTTCAGTACATTAAGTAGTACCAATACATACTCAAGGTATTGTAGTCACCCCTTAGAATCACGTTAAGTAGACATCTGAAAGCAGATATCTTTCCCTTGAGTGAAAAAATAACTATTCCATATAAATAGTGTGACTTCAGTCATGAGTCATTAAATAGCTGAATATGTTTATATTCCTTCAACAACATAAAATAAAAAAAGAAAGATTTTTTTTAAAAATCAGGGTGAGAAACTCTGGGGTGGATGGAGGGTAGCTGAAGAGGTCCCATGGCCAGACAACAAAGCTATAATGGTTTTTCCAAAGTGAATTTAAAAGATAAAGTTAGAGGAACAAAAATCAGTTTCTAGTAGACCTAGGGGGAACTGACGGAATCTCTTAGCATAATATGTGGACACCTGCTTCCAGATGGTGCCCCAAGAGGGGTGAAGACCTCAAGGAAGGAGCAGTGGAGGCCTGGAAACACAAAGCCATAAGGTCCATGCTGCACATCTTCCAGGATCAGAAGGGATTTTTCCCTTTTGTATGTGTGTAGTGTGAATGAGTGACTGCTTGCATGTTCCCGTGTGTGGGCAGGGGTACATGTGTGGGTTTGTGCATATGGAGGCCCAAGGTTGATGCCCAGTGCCCTCCTTAATCCCTTTCCACCCTATTTATTGAAACATAGTCTCTGCTGACCTTGTGAGACCCTATGTATTAAAGCAGGGTCTCTGCTGATCCCAGAGCTTGCTGTTACAGCTAGTCTGACTAGCTAGCTTGCTCTGGGGATTCCCTGTCTCTGCTCCTGGCACTGAGATTACAGATGCACCACCACACACATGTGCTTTTAGGAACTTCAGTCCCCACACTTGTATGGTAAACGCTTTACCAGCTGAGCCATCTCCCCAGTCCCAGGATTTTTTTTAATAGAAGTCTATTATGTAGTAGGACACAACAATCTCAGCTCATTCTTAAGACAAAAGCAACCTCAAAAGAACAATTAGATTATCAGCTGACTATGCTCTGCCCCAGACCTTTGGGATCCAAGTTCTCTGTCCTCTATCAGCAGGGCTGACCCAGGCTCTCAGAAAGTAAATTTCTGCTTATTGCAGTAAAAGAATACTCGGCTAGTATTCAAAGAGATGACATTACTGCCTATCAACATCAGATATTCGGTGTTGTCAACCTGGTGATAAAAATAGATGGCTTTTATCTATCTATAAGCATTATAAGCAGGTCTCCTTCGGTTTTAACAATACAAGCACCAAGGCTGTAGGAACAAACTGAGCTCTGGCTCCTTAGTAGATAAAAATCCCAAATTAACTGCACTGACTGAGCAGATAGGTTCAAATCAACATACTCAAAAAAAAAAAAAAAAGTATATTGAAAGCTTCTAAAACATGAAAAGGGTTTTATGCCCCAATTTTCTAGGAAAAAAAAAAATCTAGATAATCACTACCATGGTCAGTAACAGATGGACCACCACACAAATCATGATATCATGAGTGTGAGAAATTTACTAGCCTTTGAGTAAGAAAAAAGAAAATAAGAATTTTCTGATTAACAAACTAGAGCAATCTTCATGACTGTTTTAGCAGGAGTGAACCTCAAATAATACATTGCGCTACAGATCCTTTTATTTTCATATGTTGACTTCTTGAATTTGAAACTTCACATTCCCAATGAAAAGTCTTTTTATATTATACAGAATCAGGTATGGCTGAGAGGTAACCTCCCAATTGGCAGTTCTACTGGGCATGGTGGCACACACCTTTTAATCCCAATACCTGGGAGACAGAGACAGGTGGATCTTTGTGAGATGGAGGCCAACCTAATCTACATAGAGAGTTCTAGGCCAGCAGCTGGAGCTATAGGAAGACATTGTCTCACAAGGAAGAAAACAAAACAAAACAAAAAACAAACCACCAATTCCCGGTTCTAAGATATAATCCTAAAGTCTGAAAGGTTAGGAAAGGAGCAAACCTGCTCTCTCCACTGTCTCCAAATGTCATTGATTCTATTCATCATTCATACAAATATGTAAAGATTACATTGGTCATTTTTTTCATAAACATGAGGAATTTGAGGAGGACCATTACTATGGTATCATAATAAAACTTGTTTTACAAATTAAAGTCTAAGTAACTAGCTATTTATGTGTTTAGAAGGTACTTTTAAGATATAAATCTTAGGCAGGGCATAGTGGGGTGACTGATACCTTTAATCCCAGTAGGAAAGGCAATGGCAGGCAGATCTCTGTGAGATTAAGGCCAGCCTGGTCTACACAGTCCAAGCCAGCTAGGACTATAGGGAGACCATGTCTCAAAGAGACCAAAAAATAAATAAATAAGAGAGGCATCAATATGACGTTTGTTTTTTTGTCTTTTTGAGACAGGGTCTCCTTGTAGCCCCAGCTGGCCTTGAACTCACAGAGATCCACCTGC